GTGGCCCCTTTTGTGGCCTTCTGACCAGCGAAGTCACTTAACAACCGTGTCGTTGACGTAACAACTAGATTAGAGATGGGTAAATATTGGGGACAAAACTGGGATATTCAACGAAATGAGTGGTGTAATGAAAATTGGAGTATGGCAACAAATGATAACAACAGAAGTTAAACTTAAAAAAGCGATGATTAAAGTGAATACATAGAATGGAATTTGGGGAGATTTTATGAAATCATTGTTGGTGGAAGGCAAAGGGAATAAACCTACTCCAGAATATAAGTTGTTTTGGAGGATAGAAGGGCATAATTGGAATATATTGTATATCTAAGACAAATAAGGGGGGGAGGTCTCCAGAGGGTGGGGGTGCACTGCAATATGTGTTTTTTTCCCTTTTTCTTTTGTCTGCCTTTCTTCTTTGTATTCAATTATATACGTAATTTGTATTATTTGTGTTTTTTTTTAAACTAACGTAACAACTGCAGTTATTCACTTTTGTTTTTGTGTTTCTGTTACTTTGTTTGTATTTCCCCTCCCTTTTTGAGTTGTGAGCCGCCCTGAGTCCCTTCAGGGAAAAGGGCGGCATACAAATAAAATTAAACCTTAAACCTTAAACCTTAAACCTGTTAATTTGGGTGAAGAGCCTTCTCCAGAGACAGGGCCATACAGCTTGTGAAATTCCCAGCAACCTAGCAGCTTTGGGGGTAGCAGGTTGGGGAAGACTGATTATAACAGAGTGTCCCACAGGGATGTTTGGGATCTGCATCTTTGTGGAAGGAAGAATAGCTTGGCACATCTTTGCCTTAGATACAGATAACTAGTTGCACTGTTCCTCCACTCCACTGAGGGGAGATGGAGAAGTGACCTTCCACAGCTGTCAGCCTTGGCTGCTTTTCCATCTTCCTTCACTGCCAAATCAGATTGGGAAGAAGAAAATCCAAGTTTCTCTGGCAACTTCTGTTCGCAGCAAGTCTGTCTGCTACTACGGTGTTTCTCAAAGGCAGCTGCTGCTTAGCCCAGCCTAGTAGCCAACAAACTCCTTGCATTTTGCTTTGGATGGGCAAATGTTGGTCAATGAGTGGAAGATAAAATGTGTGTCTGTCTGCTTTTATTTTATGTGCAGCAGAAGGTGGTGGCTGAAGTTGCCTTCCACTGTTGCAGTCTAAGTGTTCTCGTATTCGGTCCATTCCTTTGATTTTTCTGATTTGTCTTCCTTAGCATTCAATTAGCATCCCACTGTCATTGCTTATCCTTTTACTTGCTTGATGAATTAACAGCCAAGACCCAATACGACAGTTCGGAAGAATAAGCTGTTTACAGAAAGAGAGTAGTGATGAAATTCTAGCAACCCTCTATCAAAATAGAATAAAAATAAAGAGAAAGGATTTAGAAGGTTGGCGCTCTTAACAGCAAACCTGGAAGCTGCCAAAAAAGCCAACACAGTTCTAGGCTGCATAAACAGAGGGTTAGAATCAAGATCACATAAAGGGTTAATACCACTTTATAATGCCTTGGTAAGGCCACACTTGGAATACTGCATTCGGTTTTGGTCACCACGATGTAGAAAAGATGTAGAGACTCTAGAAAGAGTGCAGAAAAGAGCAACAAAGATGATTAGGGGACTGGAGACTAAAACATATGAAGAACGCAGGAACTGGATATGTCTAGTTT